TTACCACCAATACACATAGTCCCATCCGTGAAGGACTGAAACAAAACAATATATATATATATATATATATATATATATATATATATATATATATATATATATATATATATATATATATATATATATATATATGATGACACTATATTCCGGGATATCATCCGTTCGCTCGTTGAACTCCGACTGGAATCCTGCATCCGACTGGAATCCTGCAAATCTTGCATCCGACTGGAATCCTGCAGACGTTTCGCCAAAATCTCACTTGGCATCTTCAATGCTCGCGCTCCGAAAACACTTCGAACACTCGGAGCGCGAGCATTGAAGATGCCAAGTGAGATTTTGGCGAAACGTCTGCAGGATTCCAGTCGGATGCAAGATTTGCAGGATTCCAGTCGGATGCAGGATTCCAGTCGGAGTTCAACGAGCGAACGGATGATATCCCGGAATATAGTGTCATCACATTTTTCCATCCGTGAATCAATACGTGAGAATATATATATATATATATATATATATATATATATATATATATATATATATATATATATATATATATATTTCTAGTTTGTGAGTTCTTGGATTCTTTTGATTTTATATATTCTTAAGAAATGGTTCTTGGGTTTTTTTGGTCCTTTTTTAGTGAAATTAAAATAAGTTTCCGTTACTTGTGAAACATTTTATTTTTTGTGACGTTTCGGCCTTCAAGACCCTCTTCAGACATTTAATTTTAACCTTAAGCCAAAAATCAACGGTTCACTATATAGTTGTTTGGTAATTTACAGTTTTACAACATTCACAACAGACATATCGAATATGTAAATCGACAAGACGAACCAAAACAATAATGCCCATATATATGCCATATATATGATATATATATATATATATATATATATATATATATATATATATATATATATATATATATATATATATATATATATATATATATATATATATATATATATATATATATATATATTCTCACGTATTGATTCACGGATGGAAAAATGTGATGACACTATATTCCGGGATATCATCCGTTCGCTCGTTGAACTCCGACTGGAATCCTGCATCCGACTGGAATCCTGCAAATCTTGCATCCGACTGGAATCCTGCAGACGTTTCGCCAAAATCTCACTTGGCATCTTCAATGCTCGCGCTCCGAAGTGTTTTCGGAGCGCGAGCATTGAAGATGCCAAGTGAGATTTTGGCGAAACGTCTGCAGGATTCCAGTCGGATGCAAGATTTGCAGGATTCCAGTCGGATGCAGGATTCCAGTCGGAGTTCAACGAGCGAACGGATGATCCCGGAATATAGTGTCATCATATATATATATATATATATATATATATATATATATATATATATATATATATATATATATATATATATATATATATATATATCCGCGAATCAATACGTGAAAATATTATTTGGCATATTTTGTGCTCCCTGGGAAACAAGAAAGATGTGCTAGCTGGATTAAATGGATATTGCTATATTATTGATAACAATGGCAGTAACAACAATGCTAAAAGCAACTGCAATTGCATAAATAGAAATTAATATTTTGTGTTTTTTAAATTTGACCCTTGTCAGTCGCAGTTAAAAAGAATACCAAATACGAATGATGGTTGACACTTCAAATTGTACACAGCGATCAGCAATCATGTTCGCCAAGAAGTGTGCGGAAGATTGCGGAAATACTAGAAAATATAAATGTTTTGTCGGCGAATTCGAGACTCCTCTCTTGTGGAAAAACATTATTTTTCTGGGTTTTTTTCATATAGTGGCAGTGTTCTATATTTTTATACACGATTATAAAAAGTATCCTTGGACCATGGTATACGGTAAGATACTGCTTAAAATCTAAAATCCGCTATTTGTAATGGGTGTATATGCTCATTGCAGCCTATTTTACGTACATAATTTCTGGATTCGGGGTAACCGCTGGGCCCACCGCCTTTGGACTCACAGAGCATTTTAAGTCAATACAAAGTTGAAAATCATTCTATTGGTTTCATATTCGACGAGTGGATTGATAAGGCGACCGTATAGTTATTAGACAATGACATTTTTAATCCTTTTCTGTGTCCCTGTCCTAGCGGCCAGTACGCTGCACTCTCTAGAACAGCCCTGTACCCTCGAGAAAGTACAGAATCTCTTTCATAGGGGAGTTTGAATAATTCTTCAGGTCATTGAATTAATATTCAAGTACACTTAATGGACTGTCCCCTAGTGCAGCACAACTGGTTGAGGTGAATTCTAGTTCTGCTAGGATTCCTACGGACGTCCCTAGTCGCCATTTATTTAACTCGCTGTTTATCAAACTAGGCATTATTCCAACGGAAGGTTCCGGTCTAAGATAGGCCGTTACCGCCGCATCAGTTAGCCATCTCGTTGCCCTCGAGCGGGTACCCGGACTGAATTGACAGAAATACATTCCGCCAGTCTTGTGATGGTTTATCAAATTTCACAAACTAATCTTCGCTTTGCGCCATTTTCTTTCTAATCAGAGATCTCGAAAGACTTCATTCGTTTTCGTTTTCTGAAAATTTAATTAAATGCTACGGAAAAAATACCACCTCTAAACAACTGTCATTCATCATGATGATTGTTGAACGTCGCAAAGTCTAATTGTGTACAGCAGAGGTCGAAATGATTTGCGCATGTGCATATCGCGTATCCTGATTTTTCTTGATGGTAGAGATTATTAGCATACGAATATAAGGTTTCAACAAACAGAGAAAATTCAATTAGAAATGAAGTAAGTAGGTTGGTAAGTTTTCATCATTTGAAGACTGTGAACCAATGAAAATACGGTACGGGTACGGACACCAACGCCGACCCACACAACATCAATAGAGGCCTCTTTTTTCCCACGTTGGTTGGCTCTGCATGAAGAAACACCCCGACGTTTTCTTTATAACATATTGATGACGTTGTTGTTATTTTGGTTACCGAACTGGGAGAAACATACTGAGTAATATTCTGTTTTAAAGTATTACAGGTGGTTTAAGCTATTGTTTTGCTTTGTATTTCCAGCAATGATCCCTCCTTTACTTTGGGGTGATCCATGGATGATGTCCATTTTGACAAATTCGTTTGTTAAATACGTCGCTGTGTTAAACGCAACTTGGACTGTAAATAGTTTAGCACATTACTATTTAAACAAGCCATACGACAAGTGAGTATAAATTCGTTTTATTTATATATTTATAGTAGAAAAAATATGCAATTGTTATTACGAGAAACTCTCTAGTTCTATTTTATTGAAACTGAAACTGTAAATTCATTTTATTTATTTCAGAAATATAAAACCTACGCAGAATTTACTGGTGACACTCGCGACTAAGGGTGAGGGTTATCACAACTTTCATCACGTTTTCCCTTGGGATTATAGATCATCAGAATTTTTTCATATGTTCGATTGGACGACTATTTTCATAAATTTATTTAACAAGCTGGGTTGGCCATACGACTTGAAAACTGTTTCGCCCGAGATAATTCAGAAGACTATCGAACGGTGCGGCGATGGCACTCACCAACTGAATCAATATACGGAATCAACGTTGAAAAGTCTTTAATAGTTGTTAAATGAAAAAAAATTTTGAAAAGCACTTTTCATTACATGATCAAATTTTTTTCAGTGTTTTATTAAAATGTTTTAATCCCTGTTAGTGGTAATGTCTAATTATCCTTGTTTCTGTTTTTAGTTAAATTGATTTTACCAAATGTGACATTAATAAGTTGTCCATTCAATTAAAAGGTGGATATCAGTTATCCTAAATGTGACAATATATTCAAATGCCATTTATCAATCATTTTTTGTTACATGAGAAATGAAACAAAAAAATGTAATAAAAACGTACCTATTCTAGTTAAAATAAGAAATTTTGGTAGCTTACCATAAATGTGACAACCTCACCTATGTCACCATTGAATCTAGTCTAATTAGAAATCTACGTATACTATTATAAACTTAAGTCTAGTTATTTCTGATGTATACGGCCGCTGAGCGACTTTTGACTAATCCTGTATATATGCCATATACTTGCCCTGCAAAAGAGCATTGGACGTCACATGCTCCGTTTGAATCAAAAAATATATTATGAAAATATATTTACAAATTTGGTTCATATTGAAATTAAGTTAAACTAATAATTGTTTTTCAAATAATGAAGTGGAGTTTGAGCTTCTGCTTTTCACATTTCAAAACTAACAAAAACAAAGTCCACTAGCTGACGAGGAAGCGAATCAGGAGATATGCTGCGAGTAAACTTATCATGGTTAGTACTAGTAGTGAGCCACCCATTATACTTGCATCTTCGTAGTATTATGGTTTCAAAAATAACAATGTTGGACTTGGTAGGGAATACGTTGGTCACGTATTTCATAGTCGCGTGATAAAGACACGAGGAACATTTTTATGAACAGCTGGTTCACCGGATCTTTACATTTTGCTTGACGTTATCGTGTGCGCACCGAACTTGGTGCATTTAGAAGTCGTCTATTGTGTTCAATAAAACATTTGTTGATTATATTATTTGTCACTTTAACTTGGTTGTCCATTCACACGCGTCTCACTCTGACCAGCATTTCTTGTTTCTTGTTTTTCGACCAGAATTTTGTTGCTCCTCCTGGAGAATTATTGCGGACTAGGCCAGACTTCCCAAAATTGTTTAATACGAGCGTAAACAATAATAATAACAATTTTGTACTGGCTGGGTAACAAGTAAGATCAGCGAAACGTCAGCAAATTTGATTTTGTAAATAATATTACAGTAGTAGCTTGTGGAAGTTTTTTTGAAAAAAAAAAAAAAAGAAACACTATACCCAGCTTAAAGTTAAAATCGACGATATCTCTGCATTGCATTAATAAAAATTAATATTTCGTATTTATTAAGTTCGACCTTTGTCGACCGCAATCGAAAAGAATAGCAAATACAAAATATATACGAATGCTAATGCAGATTTTCGGCAGTTATGGTAGCCGATTCCTCAAATTGTGCACTGCAGTCAGCAAATACGATCGCCAAGAAGTACGCGGAAGATGGTGGGAATAGAGGAAAATATAAATGTTTCCTGGGCGAATTCGAAACCCCTCTCGTTTGGAAAAATATCATTGGATTGGTGTTTTTTCATGCAGTTGCGGTTTGTTATATTTTTATGCATGATTATAAAAAGCATCCGTGGACTATGGTTTATGGTAAGATACGTCTTGTAAACCACAAAATCTAATATCAACAATAAACACTTATTCCAGCATATTTCATTTATATATTGGGTGGATTCGGAGTAACTGCTGGAGCGCATCGCCTTTGGACTCATCGCACATACAAAGCTAACACAAAGTTGAAAGTTATACTGTTGCTTTTTTATTCTATGAGTGGAATGGTAAGGAAATTGTCGAAACACTATAAATCGGATTTCCCAAAAACGTAGGAATAAGACTTTTTCAATCAAACACTGACACAAATTTGCAAATTTCCAGATCTATAACGTTTAACGTAAATTAAAAATAAGTACCACCGTATTAATTTTACAACTTTATGTATATTTGAGTTATTAGAAGTGCATATTACACTATTATGCAGGGCGAATCAAGGATGATGTCTACTTACATTATATTTTACATTAAATGGCTAATCTAAATTGCACAATTTAATCTGAAATTAACAAAAAAATAAGTAATTAGAATTAATGAAATACATACTTTTAATTAACGTTCGGTAAACTTTTTAACTCACTTGTTTATTTAACACTCGCTCCGCTAGTGTCAAATGAACTCATAAGTCAAATGCCGTTTACCGCACTTGTTGCATAATATACTATTTTCTACTACTGTTTGTAAAATACCTAATCACACACCGATCTAGCGTGCGGGAAGCGTCACTTTACCACGTCAGTTTCGTTTCCCACGGATCCGAGCCGCTCCGCTCGTGTCAAATAAACTCGTGAGTCAAATGCCATTTACCGCACTTGTTGCATAATATAATATTTTCTACTCCCGTCTGTAAAATACCTAATTACCACATCAGTTTCGTTTCCCATGAATCGGATATTTCCGGGATTTTACCGCATGGATTTGGGAGCAATCGGATGTTTTCGGAGATGTTTCCCACGCTTTGAATTTTGACGTTTGTCAATTCTGACGGTCACGTCAGTGAATGTATTCGTATTGTTTTGCGAAAATATACCCAAAAACTAACGGTCGTAGAAACATTATAATATGCAACACGTTCGGTAAACTTTTTAACTCACTCGTTTATTAAAAACTCGTGACTCAAATTCCGTTTACCGCACTTGTTGTATAATATATTATTTCGCATCTAGTTGTCTATTGGCATTTAGGCTTACTTAGGCTCTCAATTTAGTTTATGTTTGCTGTCTCGGTTTCTGAATTTCCAGATTTCACTTTAATATTAAAATTAATTTTTTTATTAATTAATATTTTAAAAATAATTTCGATACTTTTAGAATTAATTTATATTACATCACACAATTTTTTTGAATTTTGGAATTTTCAATTTTTAGTATTCGGTGGTAGATTGGGTGCGTGACCACAGGGTTCACCACAAATATTCAGACACCAACGCCGACCCGCACAACATCAACAGAGGATTGCTGTTTGCCCATGTTGGTTGGCTTTGCATGAAAAAGCACCCCGATGTAATCGAGAAAGGACGTCAAATGAACATGAGCGACGTAACAGATGATCCATTGATTAGATTCCACACAAAGTAAGCGAAAGCGAAAGCTACTCTTGAATTCGACTAAAACCAGATATCAATTAATTTATTATGGATATGTGTTTCTCGGATTAGTGCATATAATTTAATATTTTTGATCTGCGTTTGGGCCATAAAATAATGATGGTCATTTTGGACTTTTTGTTTTTCAAATACCACAGCAGTTACGGTTATCTCTTTATTTGGTGATAAAATTGGTGACCATATCGAACTTAAAAATTGGAAAACCTGACGACTCGAAGAATACTCGATTATAATACCTACTAGGACTAAACAAATTTACTCGAATATTTTAGTATTTAGTATTATTATTTGCATTTCTTATGTTTTAGGTACTACCAATGGTTCCATCTGTTCTTCTGCTTTGTGTTTCCCGCAATTATCCCACCATTGCTTTGGGGTGAACCATGGATGGTGTCCATTTTGGCCAATTCGTTTGTTAAATACGTCGCGCTGTTAAATGCAGTTTGGACTGTGAACAGTTTAGCGCATTACTATGGAAACAAACCGTACGATAGGTTAGTATATATTTAAAAACAAACGCAAATACCTAAGGAGAGTGATTTCTTGTTCAAAATAGAGGTTAATTTATTATAAACGATGTGGGGCAATCAAGTCAATGAATAGAGGCCATTGAATTAGACTACCTCTATCATTCTTCCTAACCAATTACGCAAAAATATGGAAAAAAGATAAGTTTTGATAGCCACGTTTATATAGAAACCTTTTTGTCTCTAGATTCTTTTAATAAAATTTGCCGTTTTCAAAGGACGAAATAAATTTTAAGTTGTTCTTCACATTTATTTACGAAAAATGATAGGGACGGTCTAATCAAATCCTCCTTTGCTCATTCTAAAAAAATGAAAAAATGTTTTTACAAAATAGTAATACTTTAATAAAATTGTATGGTTCTATTTCTTTTCAATTTTGCGATGAAAACTCAATTTTGCCGCTTTATTTATTTTGACAAATATCGTAAGCAAATAGTGCTTTGTCGGTATGACGAAAAGTTATAGAATTTCTGAAATTTTCATATCATTTCATTTCTTTCTTTTCAGAAACCTACGACCCACTCAGAACTTACTAGTGGCGTTTCTGACAAAGGGAGAGGGCCACCATAACTTTCATCACGCTTTTCCTTGGGATTATAGAGCATCGGAGTTTTTGTATATATTCCATATCACGACAATAGGCATTAATCTATTTAATAAACTCGGTTGGGCATACGACTTGAAAACCGTTTCGCCTGAGGTACTTCAGAAGACTGTTGAACGATACGGCGACGGCACTCACGAACTAAATCAATATAAGGAGCTACCGTCTAACGGTTTTTAATAGTTGATTATGTAATTTACTGTAAAATATTTTTCTTAAAATATATGTATATTTGTTTTCCCACTTTAATCGGATATTATTTGCGCGAATTCTTTAAAGTGCATAAAAGAGAACCGCAAGAAGTGACTATCGAGGCAGATGCTGTGACCAAAAAGGAAACGGTAATCTTTGATTTTTGGAAACGATTTGTCATCCAATCCAGACTGTTTCAAAACAAATTCATGTTATTCGCAATTGAACTCCGTATCTGCTGAAAAATGTGCATTATAACATTCACTGTTGTGTTTTATTTCATACGCATCACATCAAATTTCTAACCCTTCAATATTTTATTAACAGTCCACATGTCAAAAGAATGTTAAAGCGTTTTTTCAGTATTTTATTACGATGTTTTCAGTACTTGATTTTAGTCCCAACTTTTTTTCTATTCGTAAATGGGTTTTACCAGAGAATACTCTTAATATGGATGCGAAAGTTGGACAATTGATCCAACCTTGTTCCGAAATAAAAGAGTGGGTAGAAAAAGGAAAAACGCAATATGTAGATCATTTAGTACGAGGTGAACGGTATGAAATACTGATGCTCATTATAGAGAGAAAAGTTCATGGTGAAAGATCTGTGGGTAGGAGACAGAATTCATGGTATGATTACCATTACCAAAATTACATTTTCCAGTTGGATGGCCCATCTCCGACGCTCGGAGACAGCGAAGATAAAGAAATAAACAAGAAACAAAACCTTTAAACTACTGTTATAACTTTCAATTATTCTGATTTAAGAGTAACCAATTTAACAATACAATTTTCGTTCATATGCAAACATACATCTTTAAAGCAAAAATTAATATAATAATTAATAAATATTAATAAATAATGTTTAAAAGGATGGCGACCACTTTATTCTCTTTATGAATCTGTACTTTTGAGTTACAAATACAATAATTCATTGGTGATGGGTTGCAAAAACGTACCTTAAACCCGACCAATTGGGAACATTGTTGCAATCGAATTTACAAAATATACAAATATACAAAAATATAAGCGAATGCACTTTCTTGAAAACAGTATATGTCTGTGCAAATTAGTCAAAGATGAAAAAAAAAACAAACACGGAAATTTGCAAGTAAATTATCACAATGGGTCAATAACCAATTGAGAATTTGAACATGTACAGAGCCGGATTGGTCACTTATTTTTCACGGAGATATATTACACCTGCCTTACTAACACTAACTCAGAAATGACAACTTCATTTACATTGGTATAAGTCGAAAGTTTAATGCATATAAAATGGGTGGGATAATTTTCAGAATTCTTTTAAAATCGCTATTGGCCATTTTTTAATGATGCCTTTAGTCGATTTTATTCGAAATTTCACCATTTCATTTTTACTAGAACGGGAATAATTTAACAAAATCAACATCATTAAATTTACTGAAGTGCTTTTAAACAATACTTTTTAATATTAGACCTATATATACATATACAAATTTCTGTTGAGTTTATAACTACAGATAACCCAGCGTTCTGGACAGGCGTTTACATTATAAGTTTCCGATTCGTGTAAAAGCCTGGACATGTACTTAGACTCTAAACCTAGATTTCGAGAACATGTTACTTCTATACTAAAGGGAGCCTATGGTGGACCTAACTTATTCCAACAGACATTGATTTTTACGAGAAACCAAAAAGTCCTTAGAATTGTGTCATTGCTCTTTGGTCCTTGGTCTCTGTCATAATTCAATAGATACGAAACGTGTCCAAAAATTCAAAACTCATGTTTAAGGTTAATTTATGCGGTTGTCACCATATTTGAAATAACTTTAAAATTTCAGGAGCGCTTAACATGCATCACAGAATTAAATTACAAAGTCAAAATAGTCTATTATGCAATAAGTGTGGTAAACGGCATTTGACTCAAGAATTTATTTGGAACGAGCGGAGCGAGCGTTTGATAAATAAACGAGTGGCTTAAAAAGTTTATCAAATGTGTTGCATACTAAACTTTTTCTACGATTGTTCAGTTTTGGGTACATTTCTGTAAAACAACACAAATAGATTCACTGACATGGTCATCAGAATTGACAAACTTCAAAATTCAAGCCGAAAAAATACGAATGCTGCCAAACCAGTGCGATATCTCGGAAATTTCTGAAGTTGCTCGGATCCATAGGAAACGAACCTGACTTGGTAAAATCTCACTTTCCACACTCTAAATCGGTGCATAATTAGGTATTTTACAGAAGGGAGCAGAAAAATTTTCTTTTCTTTGTCGACGAATTCTCTCATTCGAGGGTATTAAATTCTGGACATTGAACTTCTTTTCCAGCTGTAACGATTAGGCTCTATTTGTATCCATTAGTTGTTTTCTATCAGTTATTATTAGACACCCTGCCGTGCCGTAAACTGAGCATTTTGTATATGGAGAAACTATGGAGAAACTTAGTCTTAGAATACCATTACCATTTTTACTTGTGTATAAATTAAATGATATTTTAAAGTTTGGAAAAAATGTCCGTTGCTTGTTATTGTTCTTAATAATAACAATGGCATTGATAATGGTAATAATACTTAAAAAATCAAATAAAAAGTACGCGACGCCACTGGCTTGCATAAATATAAATTAATAATTTTTGTTCAATAAGCTCCGATTTAAAAAAAAAAACGGCTGTTGACCGTGGTTTAAACAATAACAAATACTCCTACGAGCGCGAATGTGACTTTTTGACAGCTCTGGCTTCAAATTAAACAGTATCAGCAATGACGACGACAAAAATGTGTGCGGAAGATGGCGGGAATAAACAAAAATACAAATGTTTTATGGTTTATGGTAAGAAAAGTTTGGTAAAGGTTCAAAATTTGATATCGATAATGGAGCAAGACGTATTGCAGCATATTTTATCTTCATCATTTCTGGAATTGGACTGACTGCTGGAGCGCACCGCCTTTGGAGTCATAGAGAATTCAAAGCTAACACAACATTAAAAGTCATACTGTTGGTTTGATATTCGATGAGTGGAATGGTAAGCAATTCGTCAAAATAAACGTCACAAAATCGATAAATTAAGTTATATTTTTTTATTAAATTATCAGAGAAATTTTAAATGCGACACCAGAGAACTATTAATAACCATATTTTTTTAAATCACCCTCTAGACTTAGTTTTTTTTTCTTGGTCAATAACACACAATAACAATTATTTTTTGTTACCTTTATTAAATTATTAAGGAAAATTTAACGCGGAAAAAAAATTTTCTCTCACTCGGTTCAAATATTTACGGATAATATTGTTGGGGCTGGTCAATTGAGTGATCAATTAAATGACACCTTGCAATAAAAATATCGGCTCCATTTAGTTCTCAGAACGACGCGACGGCGACGTAACGCAGAATATTAATAAAGCATAAATAAATTAACATACATTTCATTGAATTTTTAAAATTATTTCAATTGACTGGTCAACTGACACAAAAAACTTCCACAATTCCACAACCTAATTTTATTGACTTTTTCAAGTCATTGGTTTTTCAAACATTTAATATTTTCTGTCAGAAATAACGTAATTTTTGGAAACAGGCTAATTCAACACGTTTTTAATACTTTTAATAATAATTACAATAAATTTTATTTAATTACTTATCTCTCTCGTGTATAAAAATTATTTGCAAAAAGGAAGACTAATTGGATTGATTTTTAAATTTACCTTTTTAAGTATTCGGCAGTAGATTGGGTGCGCGACCATAGGATTCACCATAAATATGTCGGTTGGCTTTGCTTGAAGAAACACACAGACGTGATCGAAAAAGGACGTCAAATCGACATAAGCGACGTAACAGATGATCCATTGATTAGATTCCACACAAAGTAAGCGGAAGGCTAAAAAGCAATCACACACTTTCCATTTAAAATTCAAAAGAAGCCACAAAAGCCACTTTCGTTTTTTTTTGGTTATGTATGGTCAAAATTAAGAGTATAGAGTATATGTAGGTATGTACCTGCGATCTTTTTTTTTTTCTTAAAATGTGGTGCAAAATCTCTTAACGGGTTCTTAGAACAAATAAGGACTGCAAACAAATGTCAATCTGGAAAAATGGCAATAATAAAATAACACTTTAAATGTAGCTTCTATGCTTTAGGTACTATAGATGGTTTCAGCTATTCTTCTGTTTTATATTTCCGGCAATGATTCCACCATTGCTTTGGGGTGAACCATGGATGCTGTCCATTTTGGCAAATTGGTTCGTTAAATACGTTACGTTGTTAAACGCGATTTGGACTGTAAATAGTTTAGCACATTACTATGGACATAAGTCATACGACAAGTAAGTGTAATTTAGTTTTTATTTATATATTGGTGTTAAGAACCTATTAGTTTTCGTTGCTATATGTGAAACCCCGCTATGTGTGAACACGCCAGAGTCACGTGACTATCATGCATCAATCACGGTCCAAGTGCGTGCCAGACCGTTTGTGCAGCCGAAGGGATGCCGCCCAGCGCGCCAGTACCGAACTGACCACCACAAGGGAAAGTGCGTTTGACGGTACGAGAGCAAGATACAGTCCACACACGAAGGTGTATAGAGGTTCTATACATTTTTTGGTCCTTCGAGCCGGATTTTTGGACAGAAACAAGAATTTCTTGGCTATTCATTCGGATTCACGGTTCATTGAACGGATTCGGTTAGTCAATTGGTTTTTTCAAGAGTCTTCATATCCAGCAGCGTATCCTGGACAAGCATTTGAAGTTGTATTCAGTCGGGTGAGAGATTGTTGTCGCAACGATAAAAACAAACTCGCCGTCGGACAGCAAAATCAAGGTAACCTCGTTGCATGCAGAAAACTGTCGCCGTCGGAACTGTTTCATCGCGTTGTGCGTTCGCGTTTCGGACAATCGGAAAAAGTGCCAAAGTTTTCCGTTTTCTAAGACAAACTTACGATCGACTGCGTATAGTTATTCGCGTCCATTGATTCATTGTTCATCAACGTTTTCCAAACAAAATTGTACATTTCATCCAAAGATCGTTGAATTTTTTTGTAAAAAGAAGTTCCAATCGTAAAG